CTTATTTAATCGCATGAAACCAAACGTTATTTAATTAAAACTCATTTTAGCTCATTTGCACAGAGGAGGAAACTCCGCCGCACTCTGGACCCCGGCTACTGGATCAATTCGGAACACTGAACGAAATCGACCGTAATCGACCGAGATATCTAAGAAAATTTCAGTTTATGCTTATTTCCAAAAATCTCAATGATTCACATATACGACAAGCTGAAAGCTGGGAAAAATGAATCGGAGGTTCTGGCGACGGGAAGAAAAAACAGTCCCGGAAAGCGAACTGGCGCATATTTTCATGGGATCACTACGAGGCACTATCATACAAAAGGCTGAAGCATTATCGAGGGTGGAAAATATACTAGAGCTACTAATTCAGCTGGTAATGCTTCCATCTTGCTCAGTCCCGAGCTTATTGCAATCCCCCATACTTTGACCTTTTACTACCAGGGAAGTGTGAATTTTCAGAAAAACAATAACCACGAACAAGCGGACTGTTGAATAGCGCCTATCGTAATGTTAAAAAAAGACAGGGAAGACCATCAATGTGGTGGAAGGATCCGACTGAAAGTCCATTTAGAATTATGTGGATGAGCGAAACCCAAAACTGAGAACTGAGAAGTTACCATTTGCATCAATGAAACACGATGGTGCAAACAAAGTAATTCTGAACAAAGTAAGTAATTTTAAATAAAGACAAATACTAACATAGTCTTCGGACGATATCTTGCATCGTTTGTTGTGGTTCCTCCTCCTTCGCCCATTCCTGTAGTTCACCTTTGGCGAATAGCGCAAATGTGATTAACGCGGTCAGGTCAACACCAGCCGCTATGAGAAACGATATCCTCCAGCCCACTGCATTACCCTAAAATTGATTTCTTTTCGAAGTAAATGTATAATTTGTTTATTGTTTCCAGTATCTTGAGTCCAGAAGCAAAGCCCACGGGGTTACAGGATTTAGCTATATTCAGAAGTGAAACAGCCGGGATTTAGCGGCTGAAGGTGCTAAGTAGTTTCAAAAAAAGCCAGTAGTAAATGTAGTGGCCGTTGATAACACAGGTATATTGTCTAAAACATGGCACTTTTGTAGTTTATGGAGGAATACAAAATTAATGATTTGCAAAGCGCGATCGGAAGGAGCTGTAAAATGATAATATGAATTTGACTTTCCCTCCCAAAAAAGGTCTTCATTTGTTAAATATGGCCCTTGTGCATCGCATTTTGCACTTTTGCAAGAAAAAATTATGGAACATGGGGCACCCTGAGTAGATCCATTTAAGTGCGAGAAATTAAAAACAGGTGCTTGTAATTCTGAGAATTTTCGGCAAATTCGGAATTTTTTCAGAAAATGCACACTGTTCGAAATTTCTCAGTCTACTGATTAAAATGGAAGAAAGCAATACACAAATAAGCCCAAATTTGATGATGCTTGTATGTGATGAAAAACTGTTGTGCCATCAATAATACATTGTCATTTCAAGATCTCAAAGCCTGGCTTATTAAGATCGATTGCTATCAAAAGAGCTTTATTGGTGGCGCGAGCGAATCTCTACTGCTAGTCCCCATTTCTGCAAAAACAAAAAGGTTATTCCGTTCGCAAACGTTTATTCGAACCTGAGCAGCGACGAGATGTTCCAAGATAAAGCCACTAACACCGGCAAATGCGCCGATACCGTTTGAGATGCCCATCAAGATAGGTGCATATCGTGGCGCGATATCAAAATGATTTACGTTGAAGCCTAAAATGCAGGGGAATCATCCTAGTATTCATTAGCTGACTGGCTGCTTTGGCTCTATTTCAAGCAGTATTGCTCGCATGCTAAATGTCGAGGGTACAACTCTGCCAGCGAAACAACCAGTTCCTCTACGAGTTCGCCCATCTGTTTTGATGGTAAATTGGTACTG